ATATTAACAGTAGAAATCATTCAACAGATGTAATAATTGATAAACATCACTGCAAAAAGGAAATTAGTCAAACAGGTGTTGTAAAAAAAAACTGTTTTGTAAGATTTTAAGTGTGTAAAACTTTTGTTTTTAATTCTGTCCTTTAATTCAACGAATATTACTGAAGTCCTTTACTATATTGTGTGTTCCATATTAAAACCTGGACTTCCACATGACTTTTGTAACTGTAGCGAACTACAGGAGTGTTTATGACGCTGAACATGAATCCAACTAAATTAGATTTCTCTCAGCATATGAGACTATGTCATAGCGAGGATTTCTGAAAAACGAACTGTACTTTTTCTTAAAAGTGTTTCTAGACTGAGAAAAACAGATTTTAGCTGAAAAGCCAAGGGTTGTGAGAAAACCTTTTGTACACTCTAGAAGCATTTGTGCTACTTTGTGCTATCTGTATACAATAGTATATATAGACAAACATTTTGGCAGAATTTAAGTATCTTTGAAATTTTGGAAAATTTTGGAACTATACTGAGGACAACTCTGAAGAAAACCACATACCGTGAAAAACAATTTTATTTCTCAGGAAGTCACTTTGTGAGAAATAAAACTGTTTTTTACTGTTGTATAGCTAAATGAGTCTAGTAGATTCATAGTCTGTATTGGTTTTATTTTAAAATTCACCAGATTTATTAAAAAGAGTGTGTACCTCATGCCTCTATGTTATCAGATTAATTTTTGATTATGTGTTTTCCCCCGATCATTAGCATTAGGAACAAAACATTTTATGCCATTAAATAACCCATAGAGTGCACTGTACATTCCACTATATGAATCGGAAAAATGTGCACTTTCGATTTTTCACCCGGATGCACTCCGTTTTTCTTGCGAAAGTTTTCTTTTGCTGAATGTAGGATGAAATCTGATTACTTCGCTCAATGTAGTTTCTTCGAACAGTGTAGTTATAGACTTTTTGATCATCAAAATATTGTTCTATTTTTTCTTTTCAGTAGTGACTAATCTCTCGTATAAATATAGCTTGTACATCTGAACATGGTCTAATCTTGATCTATGTGAATTTTTCCTTTAAAACAGATTTTGTTCTACATCACTCGATGTTTAATTTATTTTAAAAACGGACATATCAAGAGATTTAAATGTATTATTATTTTACTTAGCATTGAAAGACGTCCAACAGTGAAGAACAGTATTCATCATTTTAACTTAGATCATCAAAAATTTTGTATTGTTAGTTTTTCAGATATAATATACATACTACAAAGAAATGTATCTACTTTTGAAAATTGTTTATGAACATTGATGTTCAAGTCATAAAAATACATGTATTCGCCAATTATGATAACAACATGAAAAAGATTGTAATCATCTTAAATAGCACCAGATATAAATAATATTTATTGAAAGTCGATATATAATTGATGAAGAGGACCAATTAAAAGAACAACTTCAGATTGCATCTGATATGATATTTACATAAGAACAATCTTTTTTTTTTTCTAGTTATAAACATTTTGATAACAAGAATACACAGATATCGAAAATGAAGAACTCTTCAATTTAACATTTTGTTTTTTTGTTGACCTTGATCAAAATTTATGTTTGTACTGTATGGTATGATATGCATACGCTTGTTGTACGTTGAAGGCCTTCATTCAATCACTGCTATAATATACTACTGTAATAGAAAAAATTCTAATTACTAAATGATATTTTAATTGTATTTTAAAAAGTTTAGCATATCTAATAGAGTGCTTAAAAGGTAAGTCATATTTTTTTCATCAGTTTATAAGAACTTTTAGTGTAATCGATGGATCAACCTGTAATCAGATGATCAGTTTATATTCTATTGTATTTTCTTTATATTTTAAAAATTGTACAGATTTATATCGTCCAATGTTGCTTTTATTGTCTTGTTAGTCATTATTTTTTTTGATCATATTGTTATAATCAAAATGATAGTGATGTTGTTGCTTTATCATCATATACACATATCAAAAAAGAAAAAACAAAAATGCTCTAAGTAGACATTTAGTTTTTTTCCATAAATAAAAGATGTGCAAAAAATGTGCGTCTATATTAGTGGAATGTGAATTATACAATGAAAGTAGAGAGTTTTTATGATGCTTCTAATTACTTAATCTTGAGACAAAAACAAAGAAACTCCTGTTGTGCATAGTTATATAACTTAAATCTTAATATCAACTCTATATATCATTGATAAGTCGTAGACTCAACCTGCTGCGCGTTCACTTCTGCATAATTGCTTATGTACAATTTTTTATTTATTCTTCTCTATTCTATGGATGAAAATCATTGTTTTTACTTATATTTCTCTAAGATAAAAGATCTCTATCTACATTTAATTAGGAGAAAAACGAATGACAGTATATTCTTCTTTTATTTTTGTCCACTATCTTATTCAATACTCAACGTGATCTATTACTAAAATTTATATATCTATGCATAGTATTCACTTTTTACTCGATTTAAATTGTTCAATTAATTTTCTCTATTCGAATTTTATTTCGAGCGTTTACATCGTATTAAATATGAAAATTGTCGTCATATATCATTTTTTTGATTAGTTGTAAATTTTTATTTTTATATAAATAACGAAGAGGATAAATATATCTCATGTAAGAACTATTTGAAATTATATCAAAATATATGATGAGAACTTTTAAAATATTCTTGAATCAAGAACAAATTAGAATATTCGTTTTCTATAGCTATTTTAGTCTATAATTCATAATATTTGTACATTTTAAAAGTTAATATTTTCAATCAAAGTACATGTGTCAAAAACAAAAAAGAATCATTGATAATTATAGTTAATTAAGTTACATAAATTTAGTTATAGAAATGTGTTGTATAATCTATTGACCTTTTCGCAGAAAAAAAGTGGCGTAAATTCATAGGACATCTCGTATCTATTCTATAATGAAGTGTTCATTTTAGATAGTCGTCCTTTTGTATGCGTGTGCGTACCAATTATATATATATATATATCTGTCACTTTTTTTTTCTTCATTCTTTTCTATTGTATTAATTTTCACTACTATTACTACTACTAGTTCACCCTATATAAATATCTTAGAGGATACATAATAACTCGAAGAAACGTAACAATAAACTTGCTTGATTAATCATCGTACAACTGGACCATCTCTCTAACATATGTAAATAGTTGATGTTGGCGGCGACGATGATTATTTAATGATGATACAATAGTTTGTTAGAATAATTCTCTCTTTTGACATTCATATATCGAGTTGACAGATGTTCGAAAAACGATCATCCGTATTGAATCAGTTAAAGATAAATCACAAATGAGATGGATTTAATCTTATAAAATATTATAGAAAGAAATATTTGACATCAATTGATTGATAATAATTTAAATTCATATTTTTATTGGTGTTAAAATCTACCTTGATCGTGGATAAGTTGACGAATTACATGCTGCATTTATTAATTTTTATTCACCATAAATTTTATCAATCTTTGTGATAACAAGAAAAAAATGGAGTATAGGCTCTTGTTTTGGTTATGAGAATTGAGTTTTCATCAGTTATGACATCGATTGATTTATTTCAAAAAAATAATAATTTCCTTGACTTTCGTCAGATGGAAAAATGAACTGATTGTAGAGATATTCGATGTATTTATATTATTATATAAACTATGATTAATCTCTCTAGGTCCATTATTAAAAATAGGGTTAGTATACAATTTTTTTTTTTTTTTGTTCTTTATTGTTTTGTCGTTATATATACATAAAAGTTAACGACTGTCATTTCATTATTTTACTCTTTTTTCATTTTATGTAATCCTCTAAACAAGAAATTTTTGAATAATCGAGACAAAAAAAATGTTTTTCAATTGTTGAAACGGTTTACTCAAGGTTTTCGAATAGTATAGCAAGAGTATGTCTAAATGATTTATAAAGTTTTTGTCCTTTATTTTTAATTGTATTATAAAGTAACTGTGAAGTGTTGATTATTGGAGTAGGAAAAAAGAAAAGAGGCACACAAATGAGCCATTTAACATTAAAGGTATAAGAAATGGACTCTGTTTTTATGTTTTAGAAACCGATAGTGATTTCAAGATATTTATATCGTTTTTTTTGAAAGTGCGCGTTTCAAGTGTTGTACAGTAGTCTACTAATTGTAAGTAACGTTTATTTTTTTATTTGTTCTGGTTATGCTACCGCTATCGAAAGTAGCAATGAAAGTAAAAGAGTTCTCTGAACTTCAAACAATCTATCAGTTATGTTTAGAATGTAGAAAATATTACCCAATCAATACTTTTTCTTTCTTTTTTACCAATTTTGTCTCAAAAGTTAATCGCTATGAAATTTACATGTTATTATATTCAACAAGACCGATTGTTACAACTTATTTTGTTTTGTTTGTATTAAAACGAGAAAGAGAAAGTAAAACAACAAATCGCGACATCAGTCTGTTGATATTATTGAAACCTTTTCTTTTTCTTCTCTCTCTTTCTCTCTTGCCTTTTTTCTTTCTGTTGATAGAAAAAGATGTTATATATTCTTTTATTTCGCGATTTTGATTTATTATTCTTAATATATATAAGGAAAATGATCGAATTTTTTTTCTTTCATTCTTTTCTTTTTCTATCCGTTATCATTCATTATTGAAAATAAACATTTATTTTGAGATCTATAAAAAAATCTTACTTTATACACGTACAAGTATCAGTATTTCCCTCCATCTAATTTTAGAATCAATCATCTAAGTAGCCTCAAGTTAATTTAATCATTGAAATATGTTTATGATATTAAACTATTAATTATCGATTATCATTTACAAAACATATTTCAAGGTAAAAATTAGGTTCTATGAATGAATGCATGACAAACTGTAAAACAAAAAAAAGGAAATTCACACTTTACTCTCTTCAAAGACTAGAGACAGTAGTTTCTTACATTAAAGTGTGTTTGTCTATTCATTTGTTAAGACATGAATCCAGATGGTGTACGCACATCGTGTCCTGGTTATTTGGATGATTATGGAGCATGGAATAACGGTTTTGATTGTCCACCAATACAATCACAAATTCGTTATTGTTGTGGAACAGAATCAAAACGTTATTGCTGTAGTGATAATACTATTGATCATGACAATTTAAAATTATTAAATATTCTATCGTCAACTTTGAATACATTTTCACGATCGTCATTCTCTCCATCCTATCGAATATTATCATCTTCACCATTAACTTCACTATTGTCATCGACTAATCCCTATTTTTCGTTACCCATTTTAATTTCATTTATAATCGGACTTTTATTCATAATATTTTTAATATTATTCGGTGTATTATTATGGCGTCGTTATTCAGATAAAAAACAGCAAGCGCTTCGAAAAAAACAACAACAGATATTATTAGATTCAAATACACAATTAGATCCCAGTCAATATCCATTTTCCCAACATCATCATTATCTTAGAGTAGATGGAATACAAACTAATAATAATTTACATGCAAGTGATACAAATACAACAACTGCTATGTCCTCATCATCAGGAGAATTATCAACAATGTATTTTAATGATTGGAAAGAATTTCTTGTTTCAGAATCAACTCCAATGAATTTATATCCCTCTATGTCATCTAACAGTACATCAGATGAACATATTATTACACCTTATTCGGGTTTATTTTCAAAAACGAATCATCTAATTGTATAATGACTTTTCTTGAACAGTATCTGGTCATACAAGTAATTTTTTATGTATAAAATACCGTTTACGTCTGTACTATATCATGTGTGTGTCTGTATTGTCTGTTGGTTTTTGAATAAGACAAATAATATTCTTGTTCTTGTTCTTGTTCTTCTTATTTTTATTGTCATACGATATCGAATACAACTGCCGAATAGTGTTAATCTATGATTAATTATTTTCGTAAAACAATTACATAACAATTTATTTGATAGTCATTTTGAAAAAAAAAATTTAATATAACAAACAACTAATAGAAAATTTAGCTTTAAATTAAATATTTGATGAACTTTGTCTCATTTTCGATTCAATTAGATAAATTTGTACATTTCATCCATTCTAGTCTCTCTAAAGTTTAGAAAAATTTTCTTAAAATTTCATTAGACTTTGTTACCATTAATAGTGTATTTGTTAATCAAAGTAATCTTTTGTGTATTAACTCTTCACTCTTGAAAAGAGAATAACTACTGATTCTATGTATATATATAATCACTTAAATATACAATCAATTTTTCTTTGATATGAGGTGAACGGTAGATACTTTCAGGTCTGAACAAATTATTGAATTGAGTAGTCTCAATTACAAAGGTCAATGATAAGATTATACAGACGACATATCCTTATGTAGGAGAAACGAACAATGTTTGCTTATCACTTATACCGATAGTGAAAACAGTCTATAAATAAATTTTTAAAATTACTTGATATCGTTTACAACATTGTTTAAATTTGATTTGACTTGAAAAATTAGTCAATAAAATTAGGGATAACAGATTTTTATTATACCAATCAAATTAAAACAGAATTTGGATATTGCTGGATCTTCGTTTACCACTCTCAGGCTATGGTTTAAGTTAACCTATATATGTGTAATCGGCGCTACTCGTCTAGTGGAAGACATAAAGTTATTGTAAATAAAGAGCAAATAAGTAAGTTTTTGAGAGTCAGTGTTTTTTTTTGTCCGTTACTAACTAGTCAAGAGATCGGAGTAAAAAAATGGATTTTTGTTTCGTTTAATTGCGCTAAAGCAAAGCTTTTTTATCTGTATCATGAGCTAAAACTCAGCACTGGTACAAGATTTAAATCTGGTATTTTGTGCGGTAATGAGCTCAATCAAAATGAACACTACAAGAAAAATGAGTCATATTAGTTATATAGAAAAGTAATTAAAATTTTCGTATATAGTTGAGTATCAAGAATACAACAGTGGTGCAAATTGTTGATGTTTGTTTTAATCCAGTAATATAAGTTTCAAATGTGATAGAACCATTCACACTGTCTTGGATATCTATCATTTTAAAAGACAATCAGTGAAAGAGTAAGAGCTCATTCGCTGTTCTGTCTTTCACACATCTTTTAAAATGTTAAATGATGTATGTAATGAAGAGTTGTAATCTATGAAACTTGTTTGTGCGGCAAAAAGAAAAGACAAACAACCTTAATATTTATTAATTATAGAAATTAATAATATGTTCATAAAACTGTCTTATAAGAATTTTCTACAGTACGGAAAACAGCTGTCATAGACTCCCGACAAAAAGGTCATCTTGATATTTTCAAGTATATGCGTTTATATTACTCACTCTTCCTGTTTCATCTACACACACATATGATTAATAGCTCACTAATGAAACTTTCCTTTTTCAAAATGATTTACAACTTTAACCTCGATATGATTAATATTATAGACTATTTGTACAATAAGAGTAATTTGTTACGCTTAACGTTACAAACAGATACTTATAAATTGAAATATTTGACAAAAAGTCATTCTGTTATGCATCATACTTGGGTTAAATATCAAGGTCAACATATTAGACAAGATTACATCTTAAGTTTGAGAGAAATGTTAGGAAAAAAATCTTTTATACAGTATGTTAATATAAGAACGACCTAGATTATTATCAAATCGATTCTTCTCGATAATTGATCTGTAAATTATTTTAAGAAAACATTTGACTATTTCTACGTGTCTTAATGATGACATTTAAGAAGATTAAACGAATATAATCATAGATCAAAGGACAGTAAAGTGAGTAATTGTCAGATCATGTATAGTCGATAACTGCACTGGTGCGTGCTATTCATAGATCTCTATCAGCATCTTCAATTCTCTATATTCATGAACATTATGCTGTTATAATTTTATATTATATAATTATCACTATTAATAATAGAAATTAGTTACTACCACGATACGGGTTCATAGAATTCATCAAGGATTTGTTGTACATGAAAAAACATCCACGTAATCAATAAGAGAAAATGGTAATACATCTATTTTTCGAGATGAAAAAAGACAACAAATATTGAAAACTGTATAAAAAGATTAATAAAAACATTTGAACGAATTAGACATAATTAAAAAAATTAAGTAAAATTTGGTCGTTACTTCTACAAAAGTTTATTAGAGTAAGCATTATAGTCAAATTAAATCTATCTAATATATTTCGTTTTTTTCACCATTAATATCATATCATACAGACCGTGATTAATATGAAAATTAAATACGATATTTTTGAAGATGTTCTACAGAAAACGAAAAATATTTGTCAAACATATTATAGATGTATTCGGGTAAGCCATAATGGTGCGTAATATTCTTACAGTCACTATTATGAAAAAGTGTTAAAAACGTATCCATCCATCTGTTATATCTAACAAACGATAGTACCGAAAAGGTTCATCCACACTCCCAAAGGAAGTTAAAGAAAAAGTTTTATTTTTCACATACAGTGATTGTCTTCATGTTTAATTTCAACGTTGATAATCAGTGCAGCAGTTTTACATGTTAATATTTTATATGATATCGTAAGTAATTGATAGTAATGGTGCGATAAATACTTCACATATGCTAACGATTTAATCAAATTTATATGACCATTTGACAAATCTTTGATTTAATCAGTGACATAGACATAATCTAAAGTGAATAATATACTTTCGAAACTACCGTACGATCAAATACGATAACTAACCGTGCCACTTCAAGTAGAATTAGTAGAAAACAAAAAGACGTAGAAGTTGTAAGGTGCCGATAATTCAAAAGATCAGTAAAATTATTTTTTTTTCGTTTTTTTTTTTGTCACTATTGGATAGAGCGCATCGATTTACATAGGAAAAACTAGCTTTTACGCTCTGGAACTGGAGTTTGGGGTTAAAAATTTCAAAATACTACTGTAGTCTTTTATAAATAGACTAATTTTAATAAAATTTTCAATAAAAACAAAAAGTTTCCAATTTCATTTCGTTTTATAGTCCCAAAACCATTTTTTCTGATTCTCCATGCAAAACTACGTATGGAACACCGTTTTTCACCTTTTCAAAATGAAAACTAACTTCATTGACAGAGAAATTCGACCAGAATCCAAGAAGTACCACCGTATCTCTCCAAATACATCTAGTCTGGGTACTTAAAGAACCAAGCCTTCTTTCTTATTTTGTTCTAATCTACACACATGTAGGAAGAAAAGTCAGAGACTTTTTGCAAATATTGCTTCTTGATGAAGAAAATCAAACTTTTTATTTCTTCCATTCGATTGCTGGAATTCTGGTGAATAGGTCTGGATTTGGATGAATTATATCGTAACTAACAAAGTCACTGAACACTGCAGTCAGTCGCGAACGTTATGCTGCAAAAAAAGTTTAAAAAATGGTGATTTCATCTATGATTTATATAAAAAAATAAAAGATATGATCCTTCTGAAAAATTCTCAGAGTTTTCGAAGGGTAAGGCCAGGGATCCAAACAGCTACCCTGTACATCTCTAAAATAAGGTACAATCTAAAATTCAGAAAGATACAGTCGAACAATGAAGTTTGTCCAATTCTCTAGTCATCTTCAGAATGAGAGTTATCAACCCATGTGAGCTTTGCTTCTATCCCTAGTGAATATACTTAGGGCTCAAGTACTTGATAAGTACTGCACTTGTATCATGAAGCAAGTACTAGCCTTTTCTTCAAAGATAAGTTTACTTGTCAAGTAAAACCGCTAGTGCTTCTGTAAAGTACTTCGTTGTAATAGAAGTACAGTCTTAGAGAAGTAAGAAATGTTCATGGCAAGTGAGTAGTTTTGAAAACATTTACCAATTTTGCAAGTACTTAAAAAGTAATCAAGTATGTTCACTTGGCACTTTATTAAAAATTTGCAAGTAATGATTTCAGAAATCAAATCGTTGCACTCAAATTAATCTTCATACGTCGTCTCGTTATTGACTGTTGAATTTCTTCATTATTTATAAGAGGCCAGTTAAATTGCTCTAAAATATACAAATGACTTTTCAGTAAAATTTAACAGGCGCATCTATTTCCTATAATAGATGCGTGCAAAAGTTATTTTTTCATTTATTTTAACGTAGTTTATTCAAATTGTACTATCAACAGAAAGCCAATTAGTTTATGTATATTACAATAATTTTTGTAAAATAATCTTTCTTAATTTAAAAGATGTTTTTCACACATTTTTAAATACGGTGAACATTCATCTTACTGTACGTGTAGTATAATCAGACGTTCATTGTTATGTAATCAATGAATAAAATTACATTTTTTGTACCTATTATTTTTCAACAATGTATATTAGTTTTTATATTTTATTTGATATTCATTTAACCGGTAGAGAATTCCACTATTTTGCTCTGAAATAAGTTAAACCATTAAAGTATAGTGATTACCGATGAGTCGAGATATACAGATTCTATAATTTTTTGGTTTTAACACCATCATCGTAAAACACATCAAATCAGATCAGAAATTCGGTCAGGTAAACTGAAACACGGATCCTTGTTCTTGATTGAATGCTATTTTAGTAGAGAAAAAGTAAATTAACATATAACGATATTATCATAGAGCTAAAGTGTAGAAAAAACGTCGACTGAGTGAAACGGTTGTATAGAAAATTAGACTCTTGTTTAACAATCAATGACAGTTTTGGAGTTTAGAAAAGCTATAAAATTCTCTGTTCGCAACCGAAAGTCATTTCATATAAGACAAATTCTAAATTCTTCTTTTATTTTGGAAAACTCTTTTCCATAGTGTAGATGGATTATATTTCTAAAAGCTTTATATTCAAAAAACTGATAATATCATTGAGCACATCCAAGTGTGTTTCTTGTGCGGTGTCTTCTAATTGGTAAATTTTTGTATATTATTAATAGATCCATGATAATGCAATTTTTTTCACTGGACACCTGATATTTTATTTTTCACTTTAACAGTGACTTTATTTATAAACATGCGTGTGCATGAGAGAAAAAAATTAAAAATCCTACACAAGAGAAATTTTTTTAATTAGAATGAAAATTAAAAGTATGTATCAATTTAACAATCCAGAAAATTGGCAGCCATCAAAAGTTCTAATGCAATGTCAGGCGGAATGTAAAATTCCGGTATTTCCACAGTTGAATTCGTATAGCGAGCTTTATAGGCAAAATACATGCAAATTTTTGCCAATATATGAGAACTAAAGTAAAAAACAAATTATGTGAAAAATGTACGAGACAGTATTGGAGATCAGGAGCAGAGCGAAAAAAATCAGAACATCGAAAATAAGATCAATCATCCCATTATAAACCAATATATCTCAACTATCATATCCTAAAAACGTATCAGAGGGTCAAAATATGACAAAATATTCTTCTGTGATGATAATACATAAAGATGTAACTTAACGTACGTTATACTACGAAAATGAATTTCATTTGTTTCGTTCTCAGCAAATTGACCTAAACAGAATGAAGGGCAAAGATAAAATTTTTTACTTGTTAAGAATATTTAAATAAGCATACCAGGACCAGATAGCATTGCTTTGATTGTCTGAGATGTTAAAGCAAGATCTCGCTTCACCATGAATTCATGACCATCAGACGAAATTAATTTTACATACATATCTTTTGGAGTTTCAGAGATCATTTCAGATTCTTTGGACGTCATATTATTTTAGGTAAGTGATCGATATTTAGTCTAACACAACGATACACGTTTAAACATTTATCTAAATTTCAAAATATCTTAGACAAAAGAACGTGTAAACAAAAAGACGTATGGAGAAGTTAGAGCATAAACAATAGATTCATTTTTATCTGTCATTCTAAGAACATTTTCACTTGTCCAACCGAGAAGTCATTCAGACAAAGCAGCTAATCTTTTTGCCAAAAATAGCTGTTTAAGAGAAGACTTTCGTCAGAAAAAATCTAGGGTAAGCATCATACTGGAAGAGAAGAATTATTCAATGTTTTTTCCATTATTATGTTATGTTGTTACTTTTCTCTCATTACTCTCTGATATGGCAACAACAACATGAGAAAATAAAAATCACTGGTCTTTAAGTGAACCAATCAAATCTTGAAAGATTTTCACGAAATATCAAATATTTACAGATATAGTGGCGCTGATATGAACGCTACGAGGCAATCCAGAATATCACAAACAAAAACGGACTTGAGGTGTTGAGATGCTTAATATCGAATAGATTTTATTGACAGTCCGGCGAATTTTTTTTTAACAGACTTCAAATGTTCAAATAAAAAACAAGTATTTAATGAGACTCATATTATTTGTCATTTCAAATAAAATTAATCTATTAATCAACACAGACGACAATTATATAGTTGATATGACAAATGAGAATTTGATCTATGCCGTTTAAACTATATAAAAAATTTAATTTACAATGTGAACTCTAGAGTAGAAAAATAGTGTGTTATAAAAGATACGAAAGTAAAATGGAATAACATTTCATTTGGATGCTTGTGGACTGGTAAATGAAAATCCACGGAACGTATCCTCTGGAGTAGACATTAATAAGCAAGCGTCTTTTTTTTCTATTTCAGATAGTTTGTGATTGTGCATTATTGGCTGGAATGATGTCACTGTCTAAACATGAGGAAATCAATGTTTATAGATTAAGAATCAGAAGTTTCGTTTAGGTGGACTTTTTTTTTGGTTATCAGCTAAATTTTTTCAGAAAAATGTGTTCAGAAAATATTTTTGGAGTTCCTCAATAAATTGTCCCCACCTTGCTAAACCTGTAGCGAAAACGCTGTTAAGAATAATGTTCTTCTTACTCTTGGTATCCATGGTGGTTTTACTCTTCGATTATTAATATTTTCTAGAGTATATGGTTCACTAAAACACAGAGGATAATTAAATAAATGAATTTTTAATTATTCATCATACCTGTAAAACTCATGGTTTTTTAACAAACCGTGTGGTGAATTGATATGTCCTAGACGTTTGTGTGGTTCTCGTTCTAAAAGTGCTTGAATGATACGTTTTGCTCGCCTGGGTATTGTCTCTACATATTGAGCATCTTTTGATAATACATTCTCTTCAATTTGTGCGTCATCGGGATGGTAAAATGGTGTAACAAATGTAAACATTTCATAGATCATCACTCCAAACGACCTAATTATGTAAAAAAGTCATTTATTCTTTTATTTTCAATTTATTTTTGTGAGCAAAAACATACCACCAATCAACAGTATGATCATATTCTGCATGGTTAAATATTTCATAAGCAATATACTCTTGTGTACCACAAAAAGTACTTGTTCTATGTGTATAATCAACACCTTCTTTGCATAAACCAAAATCGGTAAGCTTCAAATGTCCATCATCAAATACGAGAACATTTTCTGGTTTTAAATCTCGATATACCTTGAGAAAATGGAAATCTGTATTTATTGCTACTATCCGTCCCAAAATACAAGGCCATCGCTTACTTTTGGAATAACTTAATGACACTGATGGATAGCGACCTGCAGTTTTCACCACCATGTTGCTAAGACCCTAAGACATGATTTTGTAAGCAGAAACTTGTTTCCAAATTTTTCCAGAGGATCATAGGAAAACCAGCTCCGTTCTCAGAAAACTAACATACAAAGTTAGTAATGTTTTGTATGCGTAGATACTTAGGACGTTACTCTACAAAATTATGCAAGTCCTATTTCTCCCGCTATCCTCGTTCGGACAGGGCTCGCTTTCCTCGAACGCATGTCTATCTTCGAACAGACATCTCTGGGAATCTCGAAATGCCATGGAATATAGATAATCGACTACGCTGAGCATAGTGGCAGCATTTGTCATTTTGTAGGAATGAGAATAACTTAGCCAGAGGTATTTTTCGCCTCTTACCATCAAAAATTAAAATCCTTATATCTCGGTCAGACTGCATGCTGACTCAAGGAAATTTTCAGGAAAGACTTAAAAGGCGTCATATATTGTTGATCAAGTCGAAAAAGTGGTCCAGCAGAACACTGAGGCTTCGAGATTTTTCAGGAGGCTTGTGGAAAACCTTAAACCAATAGCCAGATGAAATTCACCTTTTTCGCCTTCGATTATGATTTATGAGCTG